GATTCCAAAGCAGTAACACTTGCAGCTGCAATTTACCGTATAAATATCATTTATGTGGAAACATCATTTAAATTAATTTCAATGATTAATAACAATTGAATTACCCATTGCTTACAATCTAATTGACTTTTTGCCAGAGTTGAACTGCTTGAGCTTTTGCTGCGTAAAAACCAGAATTTCGAGTTTCTTCGTTTTGCTTTTAATCGTTTCTCCTTGCTTTTCAACAATATTTACCAGAAAACGAACCAGAAAACATTCCATTCTTAAGATAAGTCTGAATTAATTCACTTATCAGCTAATATGATTTACCTTTTTTTCAAGAAATATTATTCCATTGACTTTCGATTTCTGTCAATAGATCACATCTAATAGTGAAACTACCACAAGCATGATATTTGATTCACATATTTGTTATGTGTCTCTACCTCTTCATTTTATATCCTTGAATTCATAATTTTTTACTTGTTTAATTGTTCCTTGGAACCAATTTCAGGTGAAAACACACGTTCAGAGTCTAAGTTTTAACAGATTTGCAACTAAGGAAATAGATGTTATCAATGATAATCCATTGTTTTTTACCTTACAATCTTTTACTTTTAATTCATCCAGTGTTTTGAAATTTCATTAATTCAGACCTGTTCATGGAGCTATTTCATAGGATTAATCTTTTATAGAAATAGGGATTGAATGTCACCAGATGATTATGACAAGGCTCTAAATTCACGATCATTTGAATGCGTTAAGGGAAGAACAATGTTTGCTATTGGTTCATGTCGTTTATGAGCATAATGACGAGGATGGGAAAGCAGGTTCTCGGTACTTTTGGAAATGAAGATTTCATTAAACATTTCGTCGACTGTCCATTACCTTGGATCTCGAGTGGTTTTAATTTCGTCCTGGATCCATCTTAGCTCAACGCTTCATTCGGCTAGAAAATACATTGTAACACGATTACCGAGTGCGAGTGGCAAAATCAATTTGGCGTTAATTAAATTATAAACTTAACTATCAATTTATCTTTCAAAGGTAAAACTAATAACAATTCATCAAATTGATTGATTATTTTGATAATTTTTTTCTCTCGCTCATTGATCATTTAACTATCTAAAAGGCTAATGTTATCCTTAACTTTCTGATGGCTTTTTTAATTTAAAAACTGTCCAATTATCCAATGTCGATATTGTTACCAAGCAATATAAACTTTCAACTTTAAAGAAGCTGAAACTCTAATCTTAGCCATTTTGACTCAAAGATTAATCACAAAGCCACTTTGTTATAGATTAGATAAAGCAAGATTAACTGGTCAGTTGATCATTTTAGAGGCAATTTTACAGTCGCTTTCAGAGGTACTTTTGCTGGTGTTTTGGTTGTTTGCCTTTAAAGACAATTTTCTGAAAAAATTTAACCGTTCATTTTGTGCCCATTTTTCCTGGTTTTTTCAACTGTTTCCTTGAAAGATGAACTATTTTTTCAGATCAATCTGTTACTGGACTTGGTCCAGAGCTTTCCTCATTTTAATTACTCTGGTTGCTCTTGGATTGTCCATCTATCAATACCTTGAGTTTAACGTGTCCATTGCTCCTTTACCCTTGGTCGGTTGTATTGTCAACTCAATCTTTATCCTTGTCATTCTTCTTGGAACACCTTGTTTGGTCAAATTTTACACTGGTCTCTTTGTCCTCTACGCACTGGCTCTAATTATCCTGGTCACTTCAAGCCAAGCTTCAATCAACTTGATTGATTTTCCCGTCTCAAGAGTCCACAACCATTCAGACGATGCTCTGACAATATCTGTTAAGGCACTTTTACTTGTTGGTCTGTCCTGGTTTCTAGTTGCTGGTCAAGTCATTGGATCAATGTTGTACTTAAAAGACCTTAAAGGTAACTACTAAAGAAACTGAAACAAACCAACTCACCTCAAACCCTTTTAATCCAGATTATACTTCTGGTTTTACTTCAAGATTGTTTCTAGATGATTCCTATCTTAAACCTTCACTACATGCAGCTTCATTTTCTGGTTCACTTCGAGACAGCCCATTGTAAAGTTGAAATAAACCAGAAAAAAAACCTAAACCC